AAGCGACTGCCATTAGGCTCCTGATCTACTGTGGCCAAAGGTCGATCAACTGCATACAATTGGGTCAGCGCGTACTAGCAACATCTGCACGCAGAAGAACCTCTTGTACTCTCCGCGTCTGCCGTGACCAAATAGCTATCAACTGCATTCATGTCTCCGCGTCCCCGTCCCCCTCCCTTCCCCATGCAACACGGCTCTACCCTTCACTTACTTACTGCCTCTGCGTCCTCTATTCACATACCCCGCTTGCATGAAATGACGAAGCGTAATCGATTTCTCTTATCGCCCACACGTTTTGCTCTGCTCTTCGTTCGCATATGGCGCGGTAAGAATTTATCGAAGACATTTGTATGCTCGTCGAATGCTCTGCTGAATTGCTCCGAGGGGCTTTTTCTAACCAGTTTGCACCCAAGTGTACTGCTACCATTCATCAGAGCTGACCATTGGCAAAAGCGTGACACACAGATCTGGACTTCCGTTTAAATTTCGTTGGTTCTTAAACTTATTAGCGAAACGCGCGAGCATTGAAAACCTCACTGCACTGCAGTCTCCTAAACATATACACTAACTATTCAGCTTAAAATTGTTAGTTGCTGGCAGTCTAGGTGTACATTTTTCTGCGATTTGTGCAGAAATAGCGGAGCATTAATTTACAGTGCGTGACCGATCTCATGAAATGTAGACCTGTCGCAGCAATCATACTCGGTAAAAAATGACTACTTAAGTAGCATGCATTCTTCGCATTGGTTTTTGATGGTCTTATGTATTTAATAGAAAACATGCATAAACTATGCCTTCTTTTACTCATTTGGTGGGAAATCACATTGCATTTACACCCGAAGAAAGTGTGTATTTAATATTTGAAAAAGTCTCTTAATTTCCGGATATTTTTGAGCCAGATCAGAAGGTTCATTAGCGTTTAGCGATTTTCGTCTACAAAGTGTATACATTTCGTGTGAGTAAAATAATATATTTCTTTATGCCTTTAAAGAGAAGCCATATAAATTTCATAAAGTCTTGCAATAGATGCGGACTATGTTGCATATTTCATGAGGAACATTCATAAATGGACAAGTAAGATGTTGTAGGGATGGACATCGCGTGGTCTTAAAAATCTCATTTTAAGAAACTTTTTTAAAACCGAAAGCTAACCTTTCTTAGGGTATAACATATAAAGAAAATGCAATTTCTTTCCAAACGAGTAATAAAAAGCATATTTTGAGCATATTTTCTATAAAATTTATTTAAATATATAAGACGTTCGAAAATCACTGGGAGAAATGCATGCTATATAAAATGTCAATTTTTACCAAGTGTGGTTTCTGCAGGAGGGCACAGAGCAGTGCATTCAAAAGTAGACCCCCTGGTGAGTCCGGAATACTATAGGTTTTTGCCGCATAGTAATCAATATCAAAATCCCGCCTCATTCATATTGACCCAGCTGTGAAAACTTGGCGCCTTGACGGGATTCGAACCCGCGCAGTAAGGTGAAGGTCTGGGTTGGAAACCCACCGAGGCGCCGAGTTTTTTACAGCTGGGTAAATATGAATTATTCAAAATCTGCCAAAGTATCGCTGAATTCCACCCACGTAATCATTTCAAACTAAAGGGCATTTCAGAATTTTGGCCAACATTGCATGAGACTGGTCACTCACTGTATGCTCGGAGGTCGAATCAAATGGCTTCAGGTGCACATTTTAAGATTTTAATTTTACTTTCTATGACAACTACAAAAACAAAACGCACCTGTAGAACAGTCTTGGTGGGCGTTTGTTAGAGAGAGTAATGACTATGGCATGGTAAATGTTCTACTAGGCTATGGACACCCATGAATTTATTCCGACTGCATAGTGTCGGGACCGTTTGTCTTTGGCTGCCTGCAATCACGCAGCTACACAGGCAAATTGACTGGACTGCTTGAATCACTGTTATTTTACGATTATTTTCCTCAGATTGTGCAGTCACAAATCAGCAGGTGCGCTCATAAATTAATATCCAACGTGTAAAACGTTCATAAAAAGTTCCGAGGAGGCAGCCTGAAAACAAATACGCTGTTCATTAAAACAAGTGCGATATTTCAGTCTCGGAACGACGGCACTGCCGCTGTTAGGCGTCCCTGTAAGTGCTAGGTGAGCGATAAAGACGTCAACAAAATGCATTTTTCAACCAATGGTGAAGAAGAGAACACGTGAATGTACCAATGTGTCAGCAGCTATCGGCATTAATTGAAGTAGACGACACCTTCGAGACGAACCCACCGGGATGGTAGGTCATTGTCAGCAGAGTTCACTATTATAGGCTGTCGTTTTATTTTTAATCATAGATATAGAATATCGTTATTTTAATTAACCTCTTAGTTATAAGAAAGGGACAGTCCACTTAAAGTTAATCGCCACGGGATCTGCTTCGATCGTTTAGAATACTGGCTTCGGAATGACAGCACCCGCATCTGATGACACGCGTTAGAAGCATCGGTGCCATAAGCCCGATTCTAAACAGTAAAAATTTATCATCCCTATAATAAAAACCCCACTTGAGGTTAAATTACTCCGGACATTCGGGAGTTTTCAGTTTTTTTCTTGAGCGAACTTTTGTGGTATGCAACCTGTTTTATGAGAGCTGTCAAATGATTTTAAGTGGTGTTTTTACATGCACTGTGCACCAGTATATATAGAGCATTACCTAAAAGGACTTTCATACTAATTAAGTAAATAAGAAATCTATGGCGAGATTTGAAAAATTGGCTAGCAAAGAAGGCAGTTTGGAACGCTTTTCCCGGGTAGGAATTAAAAACAGGCATGTAAAGTAGGATTTATTGGTGCCAAAACATTTCGTAAAGGCTCTTAAACTGCAGCCCGTCCAAGTATAACATAGATAACGAATGGAAGCACACAGCATTATGAATATGTGCAGAATGTGAATTCATAAGAACAAAGTCAAAGTTCAATGCAACGAATAATCAGATGAAAGACGTTCCCATAAACGTCATGTGGGAACGAGGGAGACGGGATGTTAACACAAATCACAGTCACGAGCAGATGGGGGCGTGAAGGTTATCAGGGCAATTGCAGATTGACCACGTGGTCTAAATGCTTGCATATATCTGGTTTCTCCCGCAGCATGTAAGCCGCTTCCAAGAAGGACAAGGTTCGATTTTTTTGCGCTCGGACCAGTACTGTTGTTAACATCCCATCTTCCTCTTTCACCCATGATTTTTACGGAAACATCTTTCATCTGATTATTCGTTTCCTTGAACCTGGACCTTGTTTTTATACATTGATATGCTTTGCAGATTCATACCACTGTGAGCTTCCATTCGTTATCTATGTTAGGCGAAGACGGGCTGCAGTTGAAGGACCGTTACGAAATTTATTGGAACCAATAAATCCTGCTGTACATACCTGCTTTCAAAGAAGGCATCGTCAAAGGAGTAGGCCTGTGGCACTGACTTGTGGTTGAAACCTTACTTGATCCGATTCTCCTGCTTAAAAGTTTATAAACCTCACTTCAGGAGGCACAAGACGGGTCTACGGCGTACTGACGATCGGTTATGACTGCAAAACAGATTTCTACGTCCGGCGCGCTAATAACGTAGCGAGGTTTCTATGCACTACATGTTATAGGACATCTCTGGCGCGACGTTCCTAGCCCAGTTGGAGGGCGGAGAGAATGGAATCGAGCAATATTCCAAACACAACAAGTAAACATCCCTCGCCTACTCCTCTGGCAAGAAGGCCGCTTTCAGTTTATTATCCCCACACACATTTGCAAGATGTGAACTGCTCATCTGACAGCGATCGTGTAACCACAGTAAATAACGAAAAATGCAATGTCAAAGGGGAAGACGTGTGACACTCACGCCTTCTGTTTGGAGTCTTGCTTGGTCTCATTCTGTCGGCCCGCCAGTCGGGTTGTTGGTTATGACGAGGGTTGTGTCAAAGGTCATACATCACATATAGTGCATAGAAAACGCACGAAAAAAGACCATTTTATGGCGAATCATATAGTGCCATCTCGAAGGTTTTTTTAATGCACCCCATCAGATTGAAGCGCAATCTGGTCATATAAGGAAATAATTGCCTATGTAATCGGCATGTGTTCTTCTATTGTCAGTCACGCGTAAGCATAAACGCAGTAGGTAACTCTGACCCAACTGCGAAAAAATCGGTGCCTCGGTGGGACTCAAACCCACGACACCAAGAAGAAAGCCAGCTGAGCTGCGAGGCCGCGCCGAACGGCCAAAACACCTCTGAATTACGTGAGCCTGGTAGTCATCTAGTGGATTCTGAATGTATTACTTAGGAAACCCCGCGTGGGCAGTCAGTCTACTGTCTCAGATTTAGTGGTACCAGACGTTGCGGTAAGTTGGGCGGGTAACTTGAACCAAAGGTGTTTAAACTCGCGTCGTCCGGCAGGGCCTCGTAGCTCAGGTGGTTAGAGCGTTGGCTGTACTAAAGCCTTCCCCTTATTGCGTGGGTTCGAATCGCACCGAGACGCCGAGTTTTTCACAGTTGGATCAATATGAATTATTCAAAATCCGCCGAAACACCTCTGAATAAACTCAAGAGATGAGAAAGTTCTTTAAAAAATCAATCGAAAAATTAAGTGCATCTTTAGATTGCACACCATTTAGGTTATTCATATTTCAAACATCGAAACGAAACTGACATGTTTTCGCGTTTCCAGAACTTCCAAAATACATGACTTCATTTACCCTAGAGTATATATACAGAGCATTATAAGGTCAAAATATTTTTGCAGAATATTGCAGAACAGAGTACTACCGTTATACGCACGAGAACGCAACTACCACGCCTAAATTAATAATTCATATAAGTACGCGCATGGGTTGAGGTCGCGGCGAGACCTTGCGCTAATGAGGTCATGCGTTTGGGGCCAACCGCATCAATGATAATTCAGTCGGTCTGTGACCTGCTGGTTTGTCGGGTGGTCTTCGCACATAGAATTCTCCACTTTTGTTTTTCATACCACTTATTATTTTAATTTGTTTACTACAAGTTAATGTCCACCTCAAGGCCAAGCACAAATATGAAATAAAAATGTCTGTTTTGGACTTTAGCCCTCGATGTCTCCTGATCCTCAAGTTACGACAAAACGCCAGTTTTGCTGTTACTGTGTCGTAGCCGGTCTGTGCGCAGCCTTTGGAATCGCCCTACTTGTATCCGGCAGCCATCTAGTACGGGGCATTCAAAGCAACCACAGCAGGGCCGGCTATACAACGACCAGCGACTCATCGAGAACTTTTGTGTAAGTAATCAACCCTGTCTGCGTTTTTGAATGACAAATTACTTGTAACAAACGGAGTTGCCAAATGGCGGCTTAACGCAAATCTCGCGGGTGGTTAAATGCGTGTTTGCTTGGAGTGACCGACCGGTAAGCTGAGAGCCAGGCGGCAATGGTTCTTTCTTCATTTGGCCTCTGTGGCACTCCCGCACCGCGAGATGTGAGCCGTCTCTCCGTTTCTCTTGTTGTGTAAAATCCTGGTCCTGCAGACCATACATGTGATGTCACGCCCAGGTGCAGATCCCCGCCGCATCCATCACCCGCTCCCTCTCTTAAGTCCGGTCTTCTTGACTCTGTCATAACACCAAGACCAGATTTGGGATGAGTGTGGAGTTCGCTAAACTACCAGTCAGCGACTCAAGTCGCCACGTCCATCCCGCTGTGAACGGTGAACATCGTCCGGATCGAGGGTCAAAGTGTAAAAAATAACCAGGGACTATAGCCCCAAAGTACTGGATGTTTGAAAAAAAACCAGATTTTCGTTTGTTATGGACAACGATTTCTGCAAGGAAACCCATTTCATGCCTTCACTAATTATTCTCCTATTAAACAACCGCTTTAACCATTTAAATCCCCGCCTTTTTTGTCTTGAGTGCGGATTTTAGTGCCTGCGCAATACCTCTCTTGCGACAACGAAGTGATTTTATGGAGGAAGCGAATGTGTGAAATTGCTGCATACGAATTGCAGCTTTAAACTGCATTGGCTAATATCTTGACTGCTTAACTTGGAAGATGAACATATTTGGACAGGCGGTCATGAAGAGGAGCAACCAGCCAAAAATACCTTTACTTAATCATATTTCCTAATCTTATTTTCTCAGTTGACCAAGCTTTTAGAAACGAACGACACCCGAGAAGACCTTCTTAGCTTCCGTTATTGACTTAAGTAAAATTTTGAATGCCTACTAAGAGATAGTAGACATTTGTACCCCTTTAAGCCAGACTATGGTTTTGACAAAAGAAACGCCTTCATGATTTGTAGGGCTCTGCTTGGAGGAGTCGCCATGATTCTCTTTGGTTGTGCATTTATTCTGTCAAGCATACTATCCGGAATGTTTGCTCGTGTTCTACGCCTGCAGTCCAGAACATGGAACAATGATTCCCTAAAGGTTTGGCTGTTTTACACTGTGACTTACTGCAGAATAAAAATAACATCCTGTCTGACTAAACCAGCACAAAGTTAATCCATTTCAGAATGTCCTTGGCCGTACAGCACCCGCAAGGACAAACTCTGTTTCTTCTTCGAATAGGTATGAGGATGTCCTGGAACACTCCATCCCAACACCATTACTGTAACCTCGATATGTATCATATGAACTATCTTAAATTTGATTTATGTAATAGTGTTCGCCACGAACACGCAGATGAAGTATTTTCACATTTTAAATGCCGGTTGTATATTATGGAAAATATGCCTTCTCATTTTTCGGTTTGTGGACACTGTTTCATGCTGAACAAGCATCCTTCTAGGTGTGGGATGCTAAACAACTATGCTTCATACATCTTAAAGCCAGAAAAATTATGTGCGCTTACAGGCAAAGTAAAGAAAGTTTCCTTGGAAATAAATGCAGCTATTTCGATTGACGGCAGGTAGAAAAAGCTTTCCTAAAAGTAAATCCAAAAATCAGAGTGATCAATGTTTTGCATAATTTAAGTCGAAGTTTTGTGTAACAAATACTGATGATATAAGTACTTGGTGGATGATTAGTAAACTTTGCTTTTAAACGTCTGCTGGAGCCGAACTATTTCTTATTTTAAAGTAGTCAGTCATGTTCTAGAATGGTAGGCGTAACGAAATTTAATCTAAGTGATGTATAAACATTGTGATAAATATGATATAATATCGAGATTTCCTCAGTTTACAGTAGAAACACCTAAGGGAAAACCTTAACAATATTGTCCACTTATCAAAAGTTGATTTGTGTAGCCTTCTAAGCATAAGTGATATTTCGTGGGATTTTTAACTTGTATGTGAATTTGTATGAAAGTAGATTTTAAACACGCCCATGCATTCAGTCTAGCTCTTGAACGCAAAACTGACGAAAAATGCAAAAGCATAATTTATATGCAATTTTTCTACAGTTTTCGACCACATGAAATCTTATTATGAAGTTTTTCGCATTAATGACTAACTAAATTTGCAGAGCCATCTCCTAGCGTCTAATGCGGTGGGCTAAATATTATGCTGCCAATATTTGGGTCACATACTGATGTTTCAATAAAATGTACATAATGTCCCGGCATTTCAAACGGCTGCCAAGCCATGAAATTAAGTCTACATTTTGACGCTTAAATGTAATTAAACAAAGCATGGCTGTGTTAATAGCGGCATGCTTACTCTTAGGCGTTTTTCCCTGGAGGCACGCCTTCCCTTGCAACCTGAAGTACGAAAAAAATATTATCCGAGCAGGTTTACTGTTTCTCAAGCAGCAAGTAGGGAACAGCCACTACATTTCCGTCGCTAACCTATATCAACTTATAATATTATTGATTGGTCAACAATGTCATCAAAAAAAGCCGCGAACTCACGCTTCGTGCTCCAGCTCGTCAGTTCAAGGATGATTCTGTGTACGTATAAGTAAATGACACTTCGCCCATCGCGAATGGCATTGCCCGCCTTCAGAAGACGACGATTCGATCACTGGAACAAGAAATTTATTGGCATGACGTTTCGGATTCTCGCTCGAATCCATCATCAGAGGCAGTCGCAGATAAAGGTGATGGTGGCACAATGAGTGCAGTAGTTTTACCACGTGGCTGCCGTGGAACTATGTGCGCACTGTAATTAACAGCTCTCGTAAGCACCGCTGGGTTCGTAATTGATGCGATGGTGGCTTGTCAGTCCGCATTCGAGTTGTTAATGGCCGTGATTTCGTTATCCGTGCTGGATGCTGGTGTGACGATTGCTCGGCAAATTGACTCACTATCACTGGAATAATTGCTCGCCTGTGCCCTCCCCACGTGACTGATTCCCCTGCATGTCGAGCGCAGAATCATGCGTTGCGCACCGTCTGACGCACTCTCCTTCCGGATCCTGCTGGGTCCAATGGAAAAACAGAGTCAGGACAGCCGGAGACAGAACTAGGCGCATTCTCTGAGGAAGTTGGCCGGGTCGTCTACGCTCGCAGCACACTCCCAATCCTCGCACGATCGAGCAGATTTTAGCAGTCGACAAGGGGAGACTCGGATTCCATCAAATTGTGACTTGCACAGAGGTCACCTTAAGAGCGATCATTGATAGCCTGACCGACCATCAGGAGAGAGCCGAGTTATCCCACCCCAAGTTTCCTAGCGTGTCGTTGTAGTTTTTATGCACGTGCAACTGTTTATACTGAGGAGTTGCCGAGGGGACGAGGTGTCAGAATCGGCTTTATTATCTCTATATCTCCGCTATGCCTTAATCCGCTGTCCGAGGCGGCTAGACATCTGCTTAGGAGAATAGGCACAAGTAACTGAGGGAGCTCAGTTACTTGTCTACGCGTTCAGCAAGCGATCCGAACCCCACAAAACACATTATGTTTCCATAGAAAATCGGGTTTCACGTGATTGAGAATGCCATGGAGGCCGTCCTAAAAGTAAGTCATTGGGCCTTTCTTCCAGACTGACAGGTCTGTGTTGAAATCAACGGTTGAAAACCTTCCAGACCACAGCTTTTAGTGCACTGTGATAGGTCCAAGCGCGTGAGGTTGTAAATATGAAGAATTTGCCGTCGAACTCAATCTCTCTTCCCTCTTTCATGCTCCAGTTGATGGTACAAACCGATCTATCAAAATTAAGCTGAAATTGCTCGCAGTGGCTTACGAACCTCCTCAGTCCGTCTACGCGTGCCACACACAGGACCTGGTTCCAACACAATACACGAGATTTCATACAAAGTGATGGATACATAGCCAAAGGCAACTGGGTCTCAGTGACAAATGCGCATTTGTTTTTCACACACATTAAGTAGGGCCTGGTCGGCAGTTTGAGCTAGGTGAATGGAACTTCGAAAATAAAGGTAATGGCACACTATGGAACCGATAGCCTTACGCTCCTTCGTGGATATTAGTTGTGATCTGGCGTCCAAGAAGAGGAGCTTCAGTATTAAACCTAGTTTTTCCAACGTTCGGCACAATTTTCATGTCCCATGCGTTACAGTCATATTTCAA